GTGAAACTTTGACCTCCGACATGTACTTCCGGTTTTATAGCTATCCGTAAAAAGCCAAATTCGCAACTTTGGACTGCTCTAGCACGTGACCTAATTAACCTAGAGGGTTAATTTTTTCGGTTTCCTAATGTGCTCTTTATGCACTTAACATAGATATAGAACAATTGCTTTTTTAAAGCAAAATTGAAATTGGTGATTTTTTCAAATTTGAGTTTTGTTTTACCATATTAGTGTCATTTTGATCTTGGTGTATGTATATCTTATGACCTATTTTATGTAGAACCTTGATATTTGGAATACAACTAAACACTTTGAATATGATTTCACCTATGACAAAAAAATTGGGGTGGGCGTGGCACATCCGGGTTGAATTTCTAATTGTTTACATTTTGGGGCTGGGGCATAACTCGCATAGGATACGTTTGTTAAAAAAGGGCCTTTGCACACAATTACCTCATCCTTTTGGCCAGTTTGAGTTAACAGTTCAGTTGTTTCAGCTTTATAGTTCCAAAAAAGGAACGGGTTTTAACATTTGGATATTTTCATTTTTCGATTTTGACCTTTGTTGACATTTGTTGACCTATATCTTTTGACCTGAATAATGTAGAAGCTTGCAATTTAAAACACAACATTTGAAATGTCAATTACCCTATGCTAAAAAATTAAGGTGGGCGTGGCACATTTGGGTTATATTACTCATTATTGATATTTTTGGCCAGGAGCATAACTCGCAAAGTATGCGTTTGTTCAAAATGGAACTTTGCATACAATTACCTCATATATTGAGCCACTTTGTCTTAGAATTTCGGTTGTTTCCGCTTCTTAGTTCAAAAAAGGAACAGGTTTTGGAAATTGAAAATTTTCAATTTTTGACCTTGACCTTTGTTGACCTTGACCTTTGTAGGATCAAACGTCATTGGCATTGGCTGTCTATTTGTACTTTCATATTTGCTGTCCTATGTCAACTTCCGGTTTTATAGTCGTGTGCAATTAAAAATTTTGATGACGTATATCTCTTGATCTTGAACTTTTTAGACTTTCTCTTTTACAAGATCAAAGGTCATTGACCTTGGCTATCTGCTGATACTTTCATTTGTGAGGTCTGACGTCTACATCCGGTATTAGAATCTTCTAAAAAATGAAAATTTCTCAACTTTAGACAGTTCTTGCGCTTGATCTAATTATCGTGGAAGGATGATTTTTTCGGGGTCTTTTGCAATTTGCTAAATTTACGAAGTCCCACTCTGTGCCACGAGTGGCTCTAGTCTGTTATTGTGATCATGTTCTTTCCCCTTTATTATTGATATAATCATTGAATATGAATTGTATATAGGTTGATTTACTTATTACTTAAATATTCTCCTTCTATTCTAGGTCAAGTTATAATAAATACTGAACCTAATGAACTAGTTGATGGAGAATCTGGTAGCGTTACCTGTTATTATAACAATGCTTATACAATAATGTTATCTCGATCTGGTGAGAGTAATATAGCTAACTGTTTTGTTTCTATACAAGAACAAGACTGTAATATCCTAAATCCTGGACCTACAAACAACTATACCGACTATATAGGATTCTATACAGCATCTAAAACAACTACTAGTTTAACTATAAATATTGATACAGTATCTAAACAAAGAGATGGTGGTATCTGGAGATGTAGAGTGGATGAACTTCCATCTGAATCATTTCAAATCAATAAAACTATTAATGTTAAAGGTAATTCTATGTTACTGGAGCTTCATTATTTCATCTAGTTTTAATTAAATAGACTCTTCATAAATAAATATTTATAACTAAAACAAATTCGAAATGCTGTCTGCACTTGAAATAGATATCAAAGGAAAAAACATATTCCAAGATGTCGAGTAGGAACGATATGAGATAAATAAACAGGAAAGGAATGACTTTTGAATTGTTAATTCCTACAAATCACATATTAATAGATTTCAATTTTATTTTGCCTTGTTATTTCTAGTACCAATTAAAGGTGTCGAAA